TCACATTATCAAGAAAATGGCTGCGCCAATGTCATGCTAAAATGCATTACATTAAATCCAAGAATATCTTCATTTCATGTACACTTTCGTATGAAACATTGTACATCGCAGGACAGGAAACGCATCTCATTTCTCAGCATACCTACACTTATTTTGGGGGGATGAGGTTTCCTTTTAAAAAAATGTCGAACACTTGATATTTTTCCATAGCACACAAAGATGTTGAATTTGCCCCTAATAAAAAAGGGGGACTTACAGCCACTTATTTGTGTAATTTAAAAGTAAGTCAACCGCCCCCCCCCCCCCCCACCAACCCCCTCTCGAGTCACTATCAGGAGCCGTATAGGGCCTGATGAAGCCAAGTGGGATTCTGTATGTATTATGAGCTTAATACTTCCATCAGGTGCCTTGATCATGTCAAATAACAGTCAGGCTTTCACACGCGAACCATCCTGAAATATATGGCACTCTAGGTCTATATTTTGAAAAATGATTTCAATCTCGTCGTTTTATTCTGCACGTATCGTGTGACTATGAAATAAGAAGACATTTATAGCAATGATATTTTGCGCAACATATATGTCAGTTCTTAAACCAGTAGTATACGAGATGTCATGTCCTGACGCCTGCCTGCGTCGGTGACTTGTCAGATCTCTGATGCGCCATTAGAGCGTAGTATGCAGGCACACACTCTAAATTGACACTTTACAACAATTCATAAAGCCTTGCGCAGAGCCTAGCTATGTTAGTCTCTGGCTATAGGCCTATAGCAAACCGACACTGGGCCAACGTTGGGCCAACAGATGCTGTTACGTTGGCCCAACGTCGTATAGCCAACCAATATCCATCGGTTATCAGTGAAAAATGGCGACAATGGCCCAACGTTTAGCCAATGTTGGATTGCCAACTGCGACCGTGTCGACCATGGCCGACGTTGGCCCAACGTCGTATTGTTATCTGGGCATGGCTGTATTACAAAAAATAGCGTTAGTGGATTACAAAGACTATGGTGTGCAGTAGACTGTGCAGTTAGTAATTTTAGTTCAGTTGCTTTTTTATGTGCAGTGATTGACAAGGAAGAAAGGAGAAGAAAAAAAAGAAATAAAATCTTTTGTGAGTCGCCAATCCAGACATAATAACCCTTGTCGTTGAAGAAAAGCGTCTATCACCGTACATTTGATACCCAGGCGGCACCGTTTGGGCCCTAGAGTAATATAGTCAGTGACAGGGGTGGCGCCACAGGGGGGGCAGGGGTCGGCCGCCCCCTATCATTTCAAAAAGGAAGAGGAAGGGAAGGGGAGAGAGAGAGAAAAGGGAGAAGGAAAAGGAAAAGACAAGAAGGAGAAGGAAAAGGAAAGGAAAAGTAGGAGAAGAAAAGAAAAGGAAGGGGAAGAGAAGGAGGAAGGCCAGGGGAAGAGAACTATCAAATGTAAATTATGACGTAAGGGAGGGCGGGGAGAGCGAACAGAACAAAATTAAGATAAAGAAAAAGGGCAAAAAAGCAAGCCAAATCAGGCATCAATTTCAATAAAATCTTCAACTGCTGAGGGGGGCACTTCCCCTCAGACACCCTCGCCTGGTAGTTGAACTTAACACTGTTTTTCTTTTTAATTTTGCAAAAAGTATGCACCAAATCGAGCCATTTATGTATCAATTAAAACCAAAAACTTCCAACTCCTCAGAGACACTTTTACGTCGCACAAGCGCAACGATTGCGCTTGCTCGCCCATTCGCCCCCCCCCCCCCCCCCAACAAAATAACCTGGCGCCGTCCCTGGTCAGTGATGGTGACTGGCGAGAAAGAAAGGAGAAGAAAGAAGAAAGAAAGAGTGTGAATGCTTCTTAGACAGCAACGATTAAAAACAAGAAAACCTATTGTGAGTCGCAAATCCAGACATAATATCCCTTGTCGTTGAAGAAAGGGTCTAAGCACTTTAGATTTGAAAGCACGTACTGTTTTGGCCTAGTTACCTGGGGGTTTCACAAAGATCCTACATGTAAGTTGAACTTATCTCTAAGTTGGACTTCAAAATTATGGAAAGCCGTTAGCATCTATGAAAATATTTTATAAAAGTTATTTTAAATGGCATAAAATGTTGAATCAAGTCATTCATATTTTCTATTATCAAGGAGATTTCATGTTCTTGAATTGGAATTTATGAAAAATCTAAAATACCTAAATTCTTGCTTTTGAATATATTTTATTTCAAGGCTACAAATGGCGCTCCATAATTTTGAAGTCCAACTTAGAGTTAAGTTTGACTTGGGATCTTAGTGAAACACCCCCTGGAGTAATATAGTCAGTGATAGTGAACAAAATTTAAAGCATCCAAATATATCAAAATTGTAAAGAATCATTATCCACCCAATTTTCAAAATTTCCCGAAACTTTGTATTACCTTTAATAGATAATATCGGGACACAGGAATTATTATTGTATGTAAGGCGTACCAAATGACAAGTAAGTGTAAGCACAATACCATAGTTAAGATGGATGGAGTGAAATAGAATTGGCATCCAATTCCTTCAAATTTTGATATACTGTGTTTTCAATCATCTACACACTAAGAAAAAATGGTGCAAGTATGCACCTTTAGGGGTGCAAACCGATGCAACAATAGCAGCACCTTTAGGGGTTAAATCCTGCACCCTTTTTAAAGGTGCAATCCTGCACCCTTTAAAAGGGTGCCAGATTGAACCTTTTAGGGGAAATAGTACCCTTTATGGTTCATTCCTGCACCTTCAGGGGTGCAAACCGATGCAACACTAGCAGCACATTTATGGGTTCAAACCTGCACCCTTTAAGAGGGTGCCAGATTGCACCTTTAAGGAGACATGTTAGTACCCTTAATGGTTCAATCCTGCTCCATTAGGGGTGCAAACCGATGCAATACCAGCACCTTTAGGGGTTCAATCATGCACCCTTTAAAAGGTGCAATCCTGCACCCATCATAGGGGAATACTGGTAAAATTTGCTCGTACACAAATACATATTAAACATGCATGATGTTTCTTGGTTAGTAATCATATAATCAATATAGCTAAAACGTGAATGTAATTGTAACATGATCAGACAAAATAATCTATTGGCTAATGATTGCCATAGGAAAATACAAATCACAAAATTGATGTGCATTGTCATAATTTGCTTAACAAATCATGATAAATATATTTTTATGTTAACACGTGGACAGTAATCATGAATATGCATGCAATATGCAAACTTTTATTTTGCACCCTTTTTTGGTCGATAGGGTTCATTTTTGTGGGAAGGGTGCAAAATCTTATATTGCACCCGTTTTTGAACCCCTTTTCCTTCAATAGGGTTCATTTTTATGTAAAGGGTGCAAACTCTTATTTTACGCACCCTTTTTTGCACCCTTTTTCTGAGAGTGTATGATATTAGCATTTCTGAAAAAAAATCATTTCAATAATAATAATAATAATAATAATGATAGTGTAAACTTGGGGACGTTCATGGCGCTAGCTCAGCATCAGTTCTTGTTAATACATGTACAAGTGGATATATGTTTATTTGATGATAGAGTTACACTATCAGAAACTCAAAAACAATTTTGCAACATTTGTATCACCTATTTCAATCCTCAGCTCTGCCCGGTGGGGCCCGGTGCCCTCCAGCTGCTCCACTCACTGACAATTCAAGGGGCTAGCCCAGTCAGCACATGGTTCACAGGGGCTCTAGCATCTGAGGCTACCAGGTCCCAAAGGTGTTCTATACCTGATTATACCCATTAAAACATCGAGAAAAACATGCTCGTCAAACTCTTCATAACTAATAAAATAGAAGTTTTTCATTTTTCACACAGGGCATGAAATAATATGCCAGAAATGAAGAAAAAACAGGGAATAAAATACGCTTTCCATCGTCGTTTAGAATAATTAGCAAAAGGCTAGTAAAATAAGTAAATATCATATAATTATAGGAATCTGAGCGTCATGCATGTTATAGGTTGGGTTATCCAACATTCGCGCAAAAGCACAATAAGTTTTATATTGTATATCACTTAACTTTTAGAAAAAACATGTCTGAAAAGTGGAAGAAGCATTATGCAAGGAGGTTTGAAGGTTGATTAGTTTATGTGTTTTACATATACTGCTAAGAAAGCATGCTTGAAGTAAGCAGCCAGGAGACCGACGGATTTAGGTCCTCTCCGATGGACTTGATAATGAGTAATAATACCCTACCAAAGGGTACTAGCGCATCGAATTGGTTTCGAACCGGGACCTCCCGGTTACCAGACCACTGCTCTACCACTGAGCTATCGCGCCTCACTCTTTCGGGTTTTTAAAACGCTGAAGACCCATGAGCTTCCTATGGGCTCTGCTTCTGGACCCCACGCCGTTTTCCTCCTCATAATTTTTTCAATAAAACTTTCAGCTTATCTTTAATTGTACATCTAGCATCGAAGTCACTACCTTAGCACCATTTTCTCTCATCTGAACAATGTTACCAAGTCCCTTTTAAATACGATGTGTCAACATTCCATAATCTAAATTTCCTCTCTCGGTCGCTACGCTCTCTCGCACCCTGTATTACGCCAAACCGACAGGAAAAATGATTCTCTCTATCGAGTGATCGATTGTTTGTTTTCCTTTACAAATAATGATATTGCAGTATATCGATTACCTTGACATGGCTCTGTAAAAACTTAAAGAATGCAACATGCAATGATCCGACTATTGTGTGCTGAGAATTCGAATCGTAGCCCGGAAATAACGTATTTTGAAATTAATCCGCATTTCCCGCTCTCCACCCAAGTGTAAATGGGTACCAGTCCCGTTGTTTGCTGGGGTAACACTAATTGCACGGCCAGCATGGAGGGAGAGCAGTATTAATACTGATGAGACTACCCTTGGTAAATAAGACCCAATTATTCAGAATCATACTTTGAAAGCTGATTATATGATGAAGCCGTGACTAACTAAAACTTATGTGATTAAGCCGTGACTAACTAAAACTTATATAGCTGTAATACTCACTTAAAGATAACACCTGCTCCAAATGATTAGAGGTCAATGTAGCAATCGATCTGTTATCCGTTAGTATGTGAAGTATACAAATCCAGAATTGATAGAAATGTGTCGAAATTACAAGTTTAATTGGTGCAGACGTCGGCTGAAATAGAGAATGTATTCAAGAGAAGGTTTCTTTCCCCATGAAATCCAGAGCGCATCTGGTGCCAGTGAAGTATCCTCGTTTTAAATATAGGAATGAGTTTTTGGTTCGAGTACTAGGTACGTGCGACACAAATCACTTTTGTGCGCACAGCACTGGTGAGCGATGCATGTCGCCTTCAGCGGAACAGCACGTACAGACACGTCGGGGGGGGGGGGGTATAACAGATCCCATCCACGCACTTTCCTTTGTTTCAGGGGGGTAAAGCCTAAAGAAGGGCTACCTGCATATGTTTCAGGTTGTAACAAAACTCAAATTCAATTTCAAATTTGTTGAGCTTTTAAGTAAATATCATAATTTAGGATGTACACGAATATACTGTACATGTACTCTTGGCCTCTTGGGTTCCAGAAATTTGCCCTTCAACTTTGGTCTTTCTTTTTACTAAAGCTACTTACAATATCATTAATTTGGATGTTGCATGACAAATTATGAATCCAATTAAAAACTATTCTAAGCTATGCATATGAAATATCGGGACGTGTGTGTAAGTTTTTGATATACTGAGCATTGGTGTAGGACGAAATTTGACTCAAGTTTGACCCCTTTTCGATATAATGGTATGTGCTAAAACGAAAGTATGAACAATTTGCCTGCGTGAGGTCCAATTGAAACAAGATTTTCAATAGAGAACATGACAATGAAACTATTTGCACAAGTCATGTAATGCGATGCCCAAAACCGTTTGCACCTTTCATCCTGTATAAATGGAAACCATGCATGTTCGGAAGGTGTCAAGTGAGCTGTTGTTCCTTTAGTCCCAGAATTGTCATCCAGGTCATTTCAGGGTCTGGGGCGTAGTTATAGGGGGCTTATGCCCCTCCCCTCCCATCAAATGGTGAAATAAAAATAAAAGAGAGGAAACACGAAAACAGAGAGAAAATAAAAAGAAGAAGCTGTAGATAAGACGTCTGGACCGGCCTCATGCATCGTACCCTTTTCAAAAGCCTTGTCAATTCGCATTTTATTTTCCGAGTTAGACCGGTGCCCCTATCTTACCAGCGCCCCTCCCAGGATGGACTCACGCCACTCCTCATGGTTATTATTATTATTTCCTTTCGTGTTGACATTTTAGTCAGAATTCGGGATTCGGGCACAGGGACCACTGCCAAGCAAAAGGCTTATAGGCATACGTGCCTGATGCCATTGACACTATGTATATAAATACATCATAGATTTTTAGAATTTTATTTTTATGGGGAGGGGGGTAAGCCGGGCACCTAGGAGAGACTTTTCTACTTGGGATTGTGGGCTGGACCTTTCTACTAAAACAAAAAAGTGTGACAATACTGATGAATAGGGCATCACGTTTTGAGTATCCCTTTCATTACAAAGAAAGGAAATAAGGAATAGAACTTCTACTATTCCTTTTGTGTAGGGTGGGGAGTTGGTGGGGTTTGCTTGAATCATCAGGACCCACATAGCTTACAATCAGGCGCGTACGCAGGTGGGGGGTCGAACCCCCTCCCCCTCAATTTTGTTTTATGTGTGTGTTTTGGAGAACCCCCCCCCCCCCCCTAAAAAAAATTGAACTAAATATCGGTCGGCCAAATTTGCATATTTCCGGGTCAAAAAAAAAATTTACTCTTCAAATCTACGAATGGTCGCGCCCTTTACGTGCATCTTCACGTGATCTTTCACTTTCATTAAACAAAAAGGCATGTAACGTGACCACCCGACCGGACGCGATGACCCGATGAATCGAGGTAAGCCTCACGTAACCCGACGGGTACTAAACATATGCCTAAAATTATCACTACCCCCCCCCCCCCAATCCGGATCAATAGACCAATATGTACCTAGGCGCCCAAAGCGCCTAGGACAAAAAGTGCCAAATAACGACAAAATGGTTGTAGAATAAGACCTATACGACCGGGAGCCAGGGGGGGGGGGGGTCAACCTAGCTGGGAAGGAAACCAATTTTCATGTGCACAGATGTAAAGATCGCATAGCTCCACATAACAAATTGACCGTCTGACATGTTCTAAGTGGTGGGTGTGGCCAGGGGAACGCAGTGCATTATCAGGTGTCCCCGTGAAGGCACCATTTAACAATGTATCTCTGTGTGTTAGTTATAACAAATGGTATTTACTGTTTTCTTTGTAAGCTTATGCTATTGTTTTTCGTATACTAATGCCAATAAGCACATTTTTCATCTGAAAATACACAAGGAAAAAAGAAATGTAATCGTATATATAGCTAATGATTGTAATTCTTTGCAAAGTCAAGTATCACTTTCCTCGTAAAAAATAATCGTTGTCATCTATTTTGTTGTTATTCCTAGAATTATCAACCTTAAACAATTGTCTTTATCTTTTAATGTGAGTCCTTTTAATCTTGCAAAACATTACTCAAAACCGATGTGAAATTCTCCAAACTTGGCAGACGGATGGAATGCCAGACTCCGCATGGTGCTCCATTTCCATGACGTCACTTCCCAGTGACGTCCTCCATGTTTCATATCGGCATGCAGATAATATGCAACAGATGATAGCATGTCACTTATTCTATTTACAGTATTCAGACCTTAGTAAATAGAAATAAATTGGGTTAAAGACAGAATTTTCAAATAAAGCCAGCTACCATATTCGTTTTTTTTTCTATATCATCAAACGAGAAACCATTCAATGTTTTTGACACTCGATACGCCAACTTCGCTATGATAATCATCACGCAACACATTTTACATCATTATTGTTTACCAGTCAGAAGGCTAGGAAAGATGTCAAAGGTCACGTACTAATTTGACAAATAACCTTGAACTTGCCCCCATTAGCTTTCAGTCAATGGACGTTCTCAGTGGTCTATTCTAAAGAATAAGATCAATAATCATCTGAATATTTTACAAAGAAAGGGAGATATTTTTGAAATAATAGGAAAAGAAAAGAAAGAAGACAAAACAGTGCTATTGTATTTCGAAATCGGTTCACTTGATTTCAAGCTTTACACAGCAGTGCACATGATTCTTTTAAATATCATGACCATATCTCCTCTGGTAGTGTTCCTTCTAATAATTCTATAAAGTATCCCAAGGTCACCGATCGGTCATCTGACGTCATCATGACCCATCTCAAGGGCGGGGGTTAATGCGGCATTCAAAATCAACGTTCCATTAAAGTAGCATTTTCATAATTATTTATGAATTTGCATGGCCTTTCACCTGTATTATTTCGAAACAATTGACAGTAACCCTAGCCATATTGCGCTATAAAGCAGAAATGGACAACTGAATCACTGACCGACTTCACGTTAAAGAATTATTAAGGTCATAACAAAAAAGACCAGTTCGTAGTTAGCACATAGTACAAAATGATGACCCCCAAATATCCACTGTGATCAGCTCGAGATTGCCAAATAATCCGCTATTTTAACTATTCCGATCGCAAATTATCCAGCTAATTATAATTTGCGTCTTCGTCAGCCCGCAGTTTCAATCAGCGGAATATTTGGTCGAGATAATTATCCCGAGATATCTTGGGCTAGTTTGCAAAATAGTCGTCATCAATTTCCACATAGCCCCTTCTATTTGTGAATATTTAAAAAATATCCGTCCTCCGAAGAAAAATGCTTTACGTCTTAAAACGTATTCCAGAATTGGTCCTTGACAAAATAGTAGATTTTGCAATTGCAACACAAAATTACCGTACATACATGTATAACAGCTATACTTTCTGAATATTTGCCAGCGACCTGATTTTATATTCCTAAGCATTTATATTGTATCAAACAAAGCCTTGGTTGAAGGAAACTCGTCAAATCACCGCGTTTATCCTCAGCCTGGGAGATAAGCCAAATAAAGATGATTGGACGTATCACAATTATCATCTAAGCAGATTATGTAGCACCACCAAGCATCAATTGATCATGGTGAGCTGATGATAAACAACAAGAATAAAGTCATAGAAAATGTTCTTTTATCTGATTGATGTGACCCCCATATGGATTTTGGTTTTGTTTCCATGCTCTTTTCTTTCGAAGCTTAAAAAATAAAACGACGGCAGATAAAGTGTACAGGCGTGTCTGGGGGTGTGTCGGATAAAATATTTTCACTTTTTCTACTTTGGGTTTGGGGGATGTGCCCTTGGATAAACGCCTTGTATATACGTCTGATCCTGGTATCCTTTTAAAGTAGGAGATATTCATTTGAAATTTAAGATTTAATCTCCGTATACATGTACGTAGGGAGGCAACGCATGACATGACGTAATATGGCTTCAATTCATAGAAAATTGATGCTTGACTACTCATTAATCACAATTTTAAAAAATGAATAAAGATGATTGATATCACCTAGAAAAAAAACCTTCTCGTCAATAACTAACCCCCTATTTGACGCGCCTTGAGGAAAATAAATCGGTAACAAAGCGAATGCACAAAAAGAAGGGGAAAGGACCAGATAAAACGTTGCGTTGCCGAATTGGTCAACTGATTTTTAATGATTTATTGGCGCAAGTATATATTAAGGCAATCATAATGACACTTCGGTGCGATGGGTGTTGGGCAGCTGCACAAGATGCATCATTTTGTTGAAGAAGGGCCGTGTCAATGACTGGTGTGGTAATTATGTTAGAGTTAAATCGTACAGTAAGTGAATGGAAATAGTGCAAACAATGCGTTGAAAACACTGACGCATGAACTCATTTATCTAACATGACTGATTAGCGCAGCGAACGACGCAATCGAAATGGCGCCTAGCGTGTAACAGAAAGCAGAAAGTTTTATTCATGGGACCCGTTCCACAAAGTCTTTTTTCAATGACAAATGACAAAAATCAGTGACAAATCTGTTGATAACCAATCAGAAGCAAGGATTTCACTAGCTTTAAACAAAAGCCATCATTTGTCACTGATGACAAGTTTTGTGAAACGCCCCCTTGGACGGTTGAAATTTGAGATTATAATCTCTATTAGAAATAAGGTATATCATTTCAACTCACGGAAGTGAACGTCGAGCACTATATACCCACTACTTGCTGATATGTGTCGTGTTGTAACAATTCTTTTGGCGAAAAGAGTTATCCCAAAATGTAGCACTGTAGTATTGACGGACTGT